CTGCGTGCGTCTGCCAATTAAATGTGTGTTTTAACGCGACGCGGACGAAACACAAAACAAACACGCGCACACACAAACACACACACACGCGCACACAATGTATCTCCCGGCGAATAGATATTAACATCGGGTTCTGGCAGCGAGCAGTCAACATATTGCCCCGGTGTCACGGTTAATTGTGTTACAGTGGCGTGCGTTGTCCCTTTAACGCGTGTCCCATTACAGGCTGGCGGGCGCGGGGCACATCTGCACGGCGTTGGCATTTTGGAAGTCACATTATCCTCGAACAGATGCAATGCCCGTCACGACTCGTGACCTTGGGATGATGGGAGAATGAGAGAGCCATGTTGGAACCTTATGTCACCCACCGCGGCGATGACACCGAGCACGAACGCTTTATCTTCGGATGGTGCGCCGCCGAGACAATGAAGGATAAGGCCCCTTGCCTGTTAAATATAATAACGCTGCCGTGCAAGTTGGCAGCGACAACCGAACTGCTGCCTACAGACGGCACTGGACGACGGTGAAATGTTGCGGCTACGAGTAATAGCACTGGTCTGCGATTATTTTTTTAGACGTCGTCTGCTTCAGAGATGAAATGTGCTGTTTATTATGAATTTTGACGTGCTGAATTCAAACATGACAATTCCCACAACTGATTGGCCACTGTTCCAAGGATATTTAAGTTTTTTTTTACATTTAACGTCTATGTATATTGTGTAGATAGTAGAGTTTTACTCGTAAATTGTATACTTGGGTTTGTTCATGTGTTTATGGTTGCTAAACAGCTTGGGTCTGCACTGCGATTATAATCGCGATGCAGACTCAAGCAGTTTTTTCCCCCATCTGAAACAACAACAACAACAAGAACAGCAAACCGCATTCTAAATATGAAAATCTACAAAACACTTTTGCCCCTTTTCGATGTTGATCTTTAACGCCGCGTTTAAACGTTCCCCGAACGCCGTCGTGCAGTGATCGGGCGAACGCTGAAATTAAATGCAGCAATGCCGCTGACCGGACGTCAGTTTGCAACGGAGCTCATAAAAAACACCAAAGTGTGCACCTGCCTTCAGTATGCCAGGGATGTGCACGGGATCCACTGAGGGCACGAAGCCCTCGCCTCATCAAACGGAACATTGGCAAACTCTGCTTTCACAGTGCTTGCACAGGTGCCAATTCAAAGGGAGCGAATGTAAGGCCCGGACCGGATGGGTAGGGACGGTTAGGAGGGGCTAAACCCCACACATTCCCTCCCCCCCCCTACTTTATCACGAGCCTGAGAGAAAAGCATGTAAGAAACGCAGGCCAATACGCACCGAGATCGTTAGTAATGTCGTGACAAGTGAAGTCGGAAGGGCAGGTGTCTCCTGGTTCAAAGGAGTATTAGGGCAGTGTCTTTGTCCGTCTTCTGAGCCTGTGGTCGAAATTCCACATTCCCATGGTGAAGGCGAGTCTCCCCATAATACTATTGACGTGAGGACATTGCCTTAGATATATATATACATATCAGATTACCTACTAAAAACAAAAGTGCTATTTTGTTACGTGCAAGTTCAAGTGTTAATGGTAGCAGGTTATTGTTTTTCGATCATCATCAACAATTCATTGCTGGATTAAGACCATCCGAAGCCGTGGCATCTGAGCACCCTTGCGTATGGGTCGATTTCAATGCTCCATCTCCATGGGGGTCGTCCTGTAGGCTGTATACTCTCTTACAGTGCACCGCACTGCAATCCGAATGGCAGAGTCAAACCCTGGCCTTGCAATACCATTCCATTGGCAGTTATTTTCGTGGTGCAGACTCTTTGGTTCTTTCGGTAATGTCACGTAGGTATAAAATAAAATTAAAAAAAATATATATTATTTAGTGGCTTTACTGAAAAGAACCAAGAGTATGGATTCCTGCAGTCACGAAAGCTTCAAATCAAGATTTTCGTGGTGCAGTCTGGTCCCACCAGGTCCACTGAGACCAAAATTAATATCGAGTGTGGTGTGTCGACATCATAGCAAGGGAGACAAAGGTGGCAGGGTCTGGCGCCCTCCCCAACACTGCGCCTCATGCGCTAGCCAGCATTAAGAGGCACCGTATTACCGGACATTCTTTGACATGGTAGTTTCACATTGCTGAGTGGCACTTGCGAACGATGGATTACACTGCAGTCAAAATACGTGAACGCAAATAGATAAGTCAACAAGCGATTACTACACGAATAGCCCAAAAAGGTGTTTTCGCAGCTTTGCGATGCGATTTTTTTTGTTCAACGTTTTGATGGAAAAGCTCTTTGTGCACGTGTGTCATTTCGAAAAGAAGGGTTGTGCATCGTTAGCCAAACGTTTTCTGGAAAATATTGAACCAAAAACACATTCCTGCGGAGGGAGCTGGTAGGAACGTTGGGTTGCTCGGTCAATGGCCAGGGTCAACGGCGGCGTGGTGTATTCTGCAAATATGCCCGACTGTGAGGGCGGGCACAAGCCGGCGTGAGTAGGTTAAACGTTGAGTTTTATAAGGGCACCACGGGGTGACCAGCCCTTCCCACCCAGCCCCACCCATCCCACCCCCCACTCAGCCCATCCCCACCCTCGCCACCCAGCCCCTCCCCACCCAGCCCTCCCACCCTCCCCTCCCCACCCCAGCCCCTCCCTACCCAGCCCCTCCCTGCACGACGGATGGACGGACGGACACAATAATCCCCTGTGGGCTGGTGTAACCAGGAGGGTTCCTACCAGTAAAAGGATTGTAGTTGCTCATTGTGGATTTTGTTTGCTCTGATAGACGTTGGTTATAATGTGGACCGGTTGGTTCATTGTTGGATGCTCCCGTGATGGTAATGGTTAGCAGACGAGGCCTTCGATTCTCAAGTTCAAGTCATTTATTAGGTATACCCTGTGAGACATTCGCTCTTGAATCGGGTGCAACCGCAAACAAACAAAAACAAAAACATGAACAAAAAACATCTTAAAGTCACATGCTGCTTGTGGATCGGTGTTGCCTTGGGAACAAGTCCAATCTAGATCTTTTACAAAGTAAAAGTTACTGCAACCCAAAATCGTTGGCTCACGTTACATTCTCTCCGACACGCATACATGTTCCCACATTTTGCAAGATTGATGGTCAGCATGGAAGAGTAGGCCAAACACCACTCTAAAGGGTTCTCTTGAGCTCCCCTTAGTGGAGAGCCTACGCATGAGTAGTGACAAAATCAAGAAAATGCAGGTCTGCACCTGCAATTTAAATACATTTTTAGCTGTAAATTGACGGTATTGGCAAGTGCAATCAACATTCATCTGCTGCGATCGCTCACACCGAGGCCTTTAAGTTCGTCCGTCCTATGAGTGTGCCCCGTCTGAGATCTTATTTAGCGTTAAGAATGTGTTAGCCGAAAACGCAAATTCGACACTCTCTTTCAAAGCAAAAACACGGGATATGTAATTGTATTGTCTTCGTGTACGTTGAAAAGTTACATTTCAATACCAAAGTGGCAACTCTTCAATGTCTAAATACTTTTTGTAAATTAAAGCAGATACTCCACAATACACGTTTTTTTCTGGGTTATATTACGTAAATATATAAATCTGTCGTGAAACCCGCCACTTACCCAACACTGCCAATTAGTAAGGTTTGTCACGTAAACAGAACGTGCCAATTATGGATGATATTGGTCGCGAAAGCCTACCTGTTAAATGCAAGCAGATACTTTATTACAAAAAATATGATTACAATACCATAGTCTATTAGAGTGGCCGTCTAAGCAACTTACATATGTAACAAAAACAAATGGAATTTAATATTGATATATAACGCTGCATAATCAATGTCCAGTCATACAATGTCCATACAGTACTTATTATAAATGTGGTATACGATATAATGGATTTTGCCTGCAGGCATATTTACTAAAATTATTAACTTCTGGGGAGTGTGAAAACTGTTTTCATTTGTCTTGAAAACTCCATTTGGGATTCATTAGAAACGTGTCACATTATCAGGGTGTCTCAGATTGTTCGTGTGAAAGAAGGGGGGAAATGTGATGTGTGTTAACTAAAAGTATGCTTTGGATTAGAAGTCCAATTGCATTACCACATCTGCACCGATATCCGAATGTGTTTTTGGTTGATTATTTTTTTTCTGGTTTATCAGATACGCGTTTGAATTTTTTGGGATAAATTAACTTTGCATTGCCCGGTTTTGGGAGCCTAAATAACTCTGGCTGTAACTTACCGGCCCAGAATATCGGAACATTAATTCCGCGTAAATAATTTTAACGCTGTGATATTGTTAAATAAATGGTAGTTTTAGTGCAAAATTATCTCCAATTAATGCGCGTACAATTTGTGAGTCTTAAAATATATATACGGGATCACGTGAATCTCTGCATCATTTGAAAATGATAACATCTAATTGGGTGGGGAGAAGTGGCGTATTGGTCGGGCACTGTGCTACTAACCTTACGATTCCTGGCTTAGTAAGTTTGATTCATTGTCACGGCTAACATCAGTGGCGAGTGATAGATCAACACTGGTCCTGGATCCACTCTCCCCCTCTCACCAATACACACTGACCAGCGTGGGGAAGTATGGTTCACTACTTAAACGGTTATGGGGAGGCCTTCATCCAACAGTGGATTGCTGGATGAAGGCCTTCATCCAGGTGCCACGGTAGCGAGATGTTAACTACTTCACCTGGTATGCAGGAGGTTGTGGGTTCGATCCCGACTGCAAAGCCTGTATATTTGGAGTTTGGAAGTTCTCCCTGTGGTCACGTGGATTTTCTCCGGGTCTTCCAGTTTCCCTCCACGTTTAGAAACTATATGCGTTTAGAGTGTTTGGCTGATATAAATTTCCACGTGATAAGCCACTTCGTTGAGCTATCATTTGTGGCCAGGTTGCTTCTGGAAAATAGCTATATAGCTTAGTGTGCTTTGCCTGGTAAAATAAAAAAAATTGTTTAGTTTATAGGATTGAAAAGGGCTGCATTTTATTAAGCTCATAAAATCGTTCATTATTTCATTTACATATTTTACGGCAGGCCGTATGGTTGACGATCGTTAGAAATATACACAATGTACAAAAGTTTCATGCATTTAAATATATATTTAAAAGTGCATAGCTCTAGTGGCTTCCTAATAGCAGAGGGAAGAGCGTTCCAGACGGTCGCAGAAACGCATCTGAAAGCACGCGATGTGCTAACCATCTTTGTTCTATAGCTAGCCAACAGCTGCTGCTGCGAGGATAACTGGAGTTTGCGTGATGGTTTATAAGAAATCAGCAAAGTATTGTGGTTCATTTGGTCATTTGTGTCAAGCACTTTGTGTGTAATGAGTGCAACCTTATAAAATACACTCTGATGATATTTAAAAGTGATGCCTTGGAAATGAATGTGAAAATAAATGTCGCTTAGAATTATTATTTTTCAGAGAACTCAATTAAAGTCCCTGAGAAGGGCCAAAATAAGTGACCCTTAAAACAAATCCATGAAACAACAAAGATTAGGATGTTTTCCAAGTAAATTCTTAGCTAAAATGTAAGCTTTATTCTTGGAATTCACAGTGATTAATTTGTTCCCCTAAAAAGAAATGTTGGCCCACGATTTACATGACTTCAATGGCCTATTGAATATCAAAGCGTCTGGTATTTCAGCTCCGTGAAAATATTTTGCAGCTGCCTTTGCGATGTTGGCGCTAATTGCCCGATTGTTTAATGTCTTTCGTGGGCAACCACAGACAACAGAGTCCTCCATCCAGTCGTGGCGATTCTGCTGAAAATGTCCACAGTTACTTGCACAAGCCGTCGAAAATAACAGTAACCGAGGAACATAGGCAAGTTAAATATCACCTTTTATATTATTAATTTGTTGAAGAAAAAATGTGTAATGCAAGTTAGTTGTTGAACTAATGGCACTGCTGTTAATGGGGCCCGCATTACTGCACGGGTCCTCTTTCAAGTGACTTTCTGCTCTCGGTGGTTGTGTTGCCAATGTGCAACCCTTTGTCAACCCAACTGATGAATGAAGATTCTAGACTTGAAGCTTTCGTGACTGCAAGGAATCATATTCTTAGGTGTTTTCGGTAAAGTCACGTAGGTAAAACATCAAAATTAATAAAAA